AGACATACCCTAAAAGACTGGCAGCTGTAATTGCAGCAAAAGGTGGTTCTACAAAGTACTGACTCAGGGGGCTGAATAAGCACACCCCACTTTTCAGTTATTTATTTGTAAAAAATGTTTGGAATCATGTATGATTTTCGTTCCACTTCTCACGTGTGCACCACTTTGTATTGGGCTTTCACGTGGAATTCCAATAAAATTGATTCATGTTTGTGGCTGTAATGTGACAAAATGTGGGAAAGTTCAAGGGGGCCGAATACTTTTGCAAGCCACTGTATATGTTTTCCTAATTCAATATAAGAGAAAAGAATACGTTTGAAGGGAGTAATATGTACTATAGTATAACTAAAAAGTTGGATCTTTTTTCATTATTAAATACTAAGTGGGACAGCTGGACTATTTAAAGGACTAGTTCACATAAATGATTAAGGTTGGCTATATTCCTAAAAATCCGCTGCAGTTGACGCCGATCCCATAAACTCCAGCTGATAGACAGCATAGTAGTTTGGAAGATTATTAACATTAGATGACATGAACATAATGTGTATGTAGCTGAATATGTCCAACAAAAGTTGTGCTCTTGTGATTTGTTTGGTTAGTTATTCAGTTGCAAACCAGTGAGCTTTTAACTTCAACAGGCCTTTAGTGCAGGCAAAGGAACAGTTGACTGTCAGGTGTCAAGTGTCTGGCAAATTCACTGCAACAGAATGCCAATCATATGAAAAAGATGGTAAAATAGACAAGATTATAGGCTAATCAGAATAAATTGCTCTGCTTGCATCCCTGTGTTTGAAATAAATTTGCTCTAGTGGGTGTACTTATGCCTCAGCAATAATAAATGGCATTGCTCTTTTGAGTTTTGATAGAAAGAGGCAGTCGTAACATTCTTAACACATACGTTATCCACCAAGTGCCTTTAATTTATACAGCACTCATGTCTCATTTGAATGCAGTCAAACCATATCGCTGTTATTTCAGTCTAAACTGAGAGTTGCCCGATTGTTGCCAAAGAGGAGTACAAACTTTGACACGTGCAAGTCGAGTGCAGGTGTGGTTCGAGAGGTCTGCTGCATAAAGACATTTTTCCACATCTTTTTAGGGACGTCAAAACATGTCTGAACGATTTAGTCCGCTAACACTGAGCCTTAATTAAATATATTAGTCTTATTTAAGATCAAATTAACATTCTTTAACTTATCTCAGTTACCATGGCAATGACAAAAAAAGAGGGCGTAAAGGACTTGTTTATATTTATTTTTCAAAAGGTACTTTGGCAGCTTTCACTGGTTTGCCTTGTGCCTGCCAGCCTAGAATCACCAGAAGGTGTAAATTGCCAAATACTGCTACAAACAAAATATTTTGTAGTTTTTACAATCCTGCATAATATTTCACTCCAGCACATGAATAGATGTGACCTTGGGTTTTAGCTTTTTCATTAGTAGCAATATTATGCATTCTGATATTTCCGTATAGCTATTAAAATACATTGAGCGGATGCCCTCTGTATTACTCCTGTCTGTGTGATGAATTGGCCTACTTCTCGGCGTCAGAATACAAATAACATATTTATGTGTTTTGTGGCCATATTGGTTTTTGGAAGTTTGAAAAAGCATACCGTATTCAGAGTGTGGTGTAGATAATGTTTGGTGTTTGTTGCATTCTGTATTAACTACGTGCCTCTCTCTCATCTCTTTCTAGGATCTGCTAGTCGTCGTTGTATGCTGGACAATAATGGAGTTGCTTTCTGGGGTCCTCCGAGCTTCGCCAGATGCATCTCACTTGAATATAGATATTTACATTTATCTGTAAGTAATGTCAAATGAGTACAATAAAACGAACAATTGATAAAAAAATAATAAAATTATGATGGACAAGAGAAAAAAAAGCAGAAAAGATGCCATTTAAGCCAGTTACAGTGCATCCGGAAAGTATTCAAAGCACTTTGTCATGTTACAGCCTTATTCCAGACTGGATTACATTCATTTTTTCACTTCAAAATTCTGCTTGAATTCTTTTGGAAATTCACTAAAAATAAAAACAAAAATAGCAAAAGTTCAGAAGTATTCACAGACTTTGCCTTACACTCAAAACTGAGTATCCTGTTTCCGCTGATCGTCTGTTAAATGTTTCTGCAACTTGACTGGAGTCCATCTGTGGTAAATTCAGTTGATTGGACATGATTTGAAAAGGCCCACACGTGTCTGTATAACGTCCCATAGTTGACAGTGCATGTCACATCTGGAGAAAACCAGGCACTGCCCATCACCATGTCAATAACATCCCTACAGTGAAGCATGGTGGTGGTAGCATGCTGTGGGGATGTTTTTCAGCACCAGGAACAGAAAGACTAGTCAGGGTAGAGGGAAAGGTGAATGAAGCAATCTACAGAGATGTTCAAGAGCACTCTGGACCTCGGACTTGAGTGAAGGTTCATCTTCCAACAGGACAGCACACAGCTAAGATAACAGCCAAAGCCTGGACTTGAACCCAATTGAACATCTCTGAAGATGTGTGCCGATGCTCCCCATCCAACCTGATGGAACTTGAGAAGTTCTGCAATGAATGGTGTGCCAGGCTTGTAGCACCATACTCTAAAAGACTTAAAGCTGTAATTATTAAGTATTGGGAAAAGGGTACGGATACTTATGTTATGTTTTAGTTTGTTATTTCTAATACATTTGCAAGAATTTCAAGCAAACTTTTTTCACTTTGGCATTATGGGGTATTGTGTGTAGAATTTTAAGGAACAAAATGAATTTAATGGAATAATGCTGTAATATGACAAACTGTGGAACAAGTGAAGCGCTGTGAATACTTTCCAGATGCACTCGAGTTGCTTCATCTGCTTAGTGAAACATGTTTTTCAAGTTCTTCGCTATCTGTTCTTCTCTTTTGTTTTTGTTTTTATCTCTAATGTACCTTTCTTTAACTGCCCTAAAAAAAAGTTTTCTCAAAATTGCAGAGTGTTTTTACCCAAGACTCGCTGCTATCTCTAATTAGCTTTTCCAGAGCTTTGTGCGCACACTTATCAATTAATGAACAGAGCTAATGAATGTGTTCATCAGCGAAACTGTTTTCCTGCTCCGTGAACTTCAACCTTTTCCATCTTCTCGATGATGGCGGAAGGAGATGGGGGTCAGGGATCGTGCATGACAGAGCTGATTGCACTGTTAGCTTCTGTTCCAACCTTTCATTAATACCAGGAGTCAGTAATTAATTTTCTGTGTTTGCTGTGATGTTCTGTTCCCCCAGCTTCTTTCTCTTCCTCCCTCCCTCACTCTCTTTCTCTTTGCCTCACACGCACAGACTTTCTTTTTGTATCTCTTTCTCTGAAGTGATGAGATCCAGTTTCTGTCTGAAAGTGCTGCTAGGCTTCGATTTGCTTGCCTATTTTAAGCACAAGCAAACACACACACGCACATACACAAAAACAGAAAAAAATCCAACCATATACATATATACTCCCGTCTTGAAATATCCCAGTCGGCTCATATCCAAAACATTCCTGTGATTTCTTTGTCAAAAACACAATCTCGGGTGTGCTGTTTCTGTTTTTCTGCTACGTAGTTTGAGTAACACCATGTGCAACAGCAAAGGGTTTACCTGTAATCATGAGACAGGAAAAAAAACACTTCTAAAAATCTCCTTTTTTTAATGCATTTTAGTTACGAGAGCATCTCGCGAAGGGTCAGAGGACCCTGGCTGGGGAGGGCATGTCTCAGATCGTACGGAGTCTCCTGGAGCTCTTGCAGAGAAGGAGCTACTACAGTGGCGACCTTCTCTTTTCCACGGAGATCCTGCGAAATGTGACGGACACCTTCAAAAGAGCAACCTACATCCCAGCTCCCGACGACGTGCAGGTAGGCAAAGCGTCTCGGCATTCGCCCGGAGCCTTCTAAAGTCACCAACCATGACATAAATACATAAATAAATAAATAAATCTCACACAAACACACACACACAGAGTCACTTACAACAAAATTTATTCCATCCGCAGCTTCACTTTCTACTGCACAGGGTGTGCATAACAATTAACTACAGCTGCACAGTTGCTATGGCCTCACAGGGCGGATTTTTTTTTTTAGCAGCATTTTTCTTTTTCCAGTGCCTGTAAGCGAGCAAAATGTTCCCGTCTCAGTCGATCATTTCACAGACGTTATTATTTATGACTTACAATATGCCTGTGTACAGCAAATGAATGAACCAGACATGATTGAGAATAAGAGGCAGTATTGCTGCAGTGCTAACCACAGCAAGGTTATCAGTAGTTATTTGATATCCAGGAAATAACTGCCTGATGGTCTGGCTTCAACAACTGAGCACATCCTTTTTTATTTCTTTTTATCTAGAAATTCTTCCAGATTGTCAGCCACATGTTGGACATTGAAAATTTAGAAAAATGGGAGGACGCTCACCAGGTAAGACTCTGCATTTATGTGAATGTCTGGTACTTTATGTCCTCGTGTGCGCTTCTGTGCACCTCCCTATCATCACAACTGACTGTCTGCTTCACCGAGTATCATAAATAGATCTTTTTGTAAATGTTTATGTGTGGTGATGGAAAATGGGTTTGATTCTACCTATTATTAATGTTTCTTTGAGTTTTAAAAATGCACAATAGCCTGTGTGTCTTTGTGCAAGCTTTGTATGTGACCCAGTGTGGTACCTCTGCAGCGGATTGTGTTTGTTCACCATCTGGATATAATAATTTTAAGAAAAAAGCCAAATATAATATTATAAACCATGTGATTAGGATTTACAGCCCGGGAACACATTCGGTAGTTGAGGTAATGCAGTGAGTAAAAAGGTATCAGTGGTTGAGACGTGTCTCATAGAAGATGGTTGGCTGTGGGTTATAATTGCACTTATGACATCCTTCCGTTCATCTTTCTATCATCGTGCTGTCCACAGATCGCTCCCGGTGCTGCTTTGCTGATGAGGATATTGGAAGATTTCATTCACCTCATTGGAGAGGCCCAGAAGCCTTTTCAGAGTTTTCTAGTGGTTACCAACAACCTCAGTAAGGCCCACTCATTGCTGTCAGATCACACGGCTTCACAGGAGCAGATGAAAGATTCTTTGTACACAAACATCTGGACGACTTACAGTACTGCGCAAAAGTCTTGAGCGGCTTAACATATATAGTTGATGAATCAACCAAAGGTCCAGATGTATCTCTCAGGTCCTGTGTCGGGTCTTTGCTGGATTTTTTTTCTTATTTTTGAAGGACATGACTTTCAGATACTGGTAATTTTTTCTGTAGATAGTTTTTACCCTGAGTTTGACATTCATACCATAGGTGCATCTACTAAAACTCTCAGATGAGTTTGAATCCCAGTGACCTCATGGTGAATGTCAGACGTGAACTTTTCTGACAATCACCTATGATTTTTAGAAAAGTTTCCAAAAGTTTCTAAAAATTCCAATAATTCTGAATTTAACTACATATGACCAGCACATCAACTTTCAAAGATATTTATATATATTTTGTGAAATTGCTTTTATAGTTTTTTAGATTTATACTAGAGGAGCATCTACTGGGAAGTTGAGGGGTAGCATTGGTGGCTGCCAGTATTTTAGGCTAATCAGTTCTTCTTTTGTAGTCCACTTACCCAGTTAGGACACTTGGCACTTCATCCTGAGAAATGGCAAGCATTTGGTAGATAGGTTTTTGGGAATCACCTTGCTGGTTGTAAAAGTACTATTTTATTAAAGTCAAACTGTATTATTGCTGCACATTTTTCATAGATTCGGCTACAGAAATTGGAACAAATGATGAGCTGCTGGTAGCAAAGGGACTAAAGAATTTAAAATGGGTTCTCTTTTATGTGCAGACACAACTCTGGCTCATTTCTTAAGTTAGGTACTCTTTTTATTTTTGAATGATGGTCAGTGTTAAGTGGTTTAACAGACAAAAAATAAGTGTTCCTCTATATATGCTCAGGTAAAAGGACCGAGCTGAAAATGAGTATTTCAAGAAATTCTTGCTCTGAAGAAGCAAAATGGCTCAAGACATTTGCACAGTAATGTATTTCATCGTAGTTAGAATTTTTGTATCCAAGGATTGATTTCAATCTGTTTCCAATAATTCAGAATTTAAACACATGACCAGCACGTTGACTTTTAACAGTGTATTTTTTTGTGACGTTTTCTTTATTGTTTTTGGCTGATTTTTTTCTTTTAACCAGCACTCTTTGTTTATTTTCCTAGTGTCATGCCTAAGTGAATTTTCATGTGGGTTTTGTTTTCATTTGTCGTTTGTCCAGTGGTAACCATTCAGAGAGAACCAGTGTCAGCAGTTTCCAGCGATATCAACTTCCCCATGAAGGGCCGGAGGGGCATGAAGGACTGGGCCCGAACAGCGGAAGATAAGCTCTACATCCCGAAAGAGGTTTTCACCATCCCACCTGAAGGTAAGAAAAAGAGGAAATGTGGTTTGTCTACTGACCAAGGTTGATCTAATCTTTTAGGTTGCCAGTTTCAGCTCATAAACACAAGATGTATGTATTTCTGTGTTTGGCTTTTTTCTATAAAAAAGATGGGAAACACAAGGTTAGGAAGGCTTTCATAGTCTATTCTTAACCATAAAGTACATATGCTGTAGTTGTAATTCTTGCTCCCTCTCTTAAATCTTTGATATATTAAAAGAACCAACTCATGGTTTCCTAATCTAAGGTCAGATCAGCTCGGCAAGTAGAGGTTCCCCCGTGTGAATTCTCATACTCAGAGATGTTTCTCACTGAAGCAGAAGGTTTCTCAGGGGCGTTAAAGGGTAGTGCTGAGAAGGATTTGGACTGTAAAGAGGCCCTAGAGGGCTTCTCAAGAAGATGCCAGTCTTTCATCTGTGAAGAAGTGTGTTGCTTCCCCTTGAGAGCATTGAGTCTCATACAATTTTCAAAATCCATTCACTTTGAGCAGCGCAAGAATGTTGACTGCGTTTAGTCGTAGCTACATTTTTTTTGTGCAGTTTCAAGCAAACACAAATGGCGAGAGTTAAAAAAGGAGGAGAAACTACATATATGATCCCAGAATAGATGGAAGCTAAATTTGTAAAGGAGAAAGAAAAATGATGTTAAATAGTAATGGTTTGAAGTAGAAATGATAAATACAGAGGCAGATGCTATCCTCTACGAACAAAGGCAAAGGTCGCTTCCCACAGGAAATTACACTGGCAGAGTTTCAGTCAGGCATCCCCGTCCCCTACCTAAATTAAAGTTCAGAGAGACTGCAGGCCAAGAGGGCAGAGCTTCCTCTGACCTCTGACTTGCACTGATGGCACAAACTCCCTTTGATTGGCGCTCAAGACATCCTGTATACTAACCTCAGGGCACGTCACCTCTGATGCTTTATTGTGCACCATGTATTGTGCTTATTCTAAACCACCTAGCATCTAGCCTTCTACAAGCCTATTATGCGCATTTTTATGGAACAGGGAATTCAGATATCTCAACGGTTGAATAGCAGGTTTTAAGCTGGATCGGTTTAACGCCATTGCTTTTCAAAGTTTTCGCCTTGCCTGCACTCCATGTTGTGTTTTTCGAACTTACTTTCCTTACTTTATGCCCTTTTTCCTCCAATCCTGTTCTTTTTTCTTGTCCATTATCCTTATTGTTTGTCGTGTTGAATGTTTTGTCTCTTGCAGGGCTTATTGTGCCATAAAAGTGACCAGCTGCATTACAGTTACACTGCGATATTCAGTACATGCAATTGGCATTTTAGCATACACTATTTGGTAAATTGTTTCATCCAAACCGCATATAGCTTTATGAGTTAGGACATTATTAGTACTCTTTGCCCTGTGGGAACTCTGCCACTTCCCATTGGCAGTTCATGAGTTGAGGTCCTCAGTTGATTGCTATCGGTTTGTTTGGTTCATTTACCCTGTAATGAGAGCCTATCTCAGATGGACAGCTTAAACATGCTCATAAAGCCCTATTGGCACCGTTGTGTCTGTAAGTGCGCACGCCAGCGCATGCACGCACAGCCAATAGATAGGTTCATGAATCGCTTCAGTGGGCAAAGGCTGGGACTGTTCTTCACTGATTTTCGAGGTGACAAACTTCCACTTTCCCTCTCTCTCTCCACTGTCTCTTTTTCTCTTGCCATCGCACGAACATGCAGCGCACTCTGTCTCGCAGCCATGTACACACATCGATCCAAACATACAAGTCAGCAATGGCTTCATATTTCAAATACACCATTGGTGGTTCATGCTCATGGTTATGAGTTGTTAACTTTTAACTCATCAGCCACCTCCTTTGCTGTTTTGCTTCTGATGATTCTCCCTTTCAGTGTGTGAGATGGAGCTGGAAATTCGGTGATTCATTGAGCATCAATTGGGGCTGACGCCTGAGTTGTTAACCTGAGTTGACATCTTCAGAAACACACTTCCACACTCTCTTAAAGACTGTGATATGTTAGGAAATGTTTAGTTTATTTAAAAAAGTATACCTGTATTTCTCATAAATGCAGGCATCTTTACTCTTTACTGCGAACTGTACTCGCACCACCTCTTTTGTAGATATAATAACAAGTGGTCACACACACGAAGTATATCGGTGTATGTGGTTTGAATTAAAGTAAATACTTGCCTGTAACTGCCATTGCGCTAACTGGATTAGGGATTTACAGGCATGCTCAATGAACTCATTGCTGTAGCGAGTTGTCCCATGGATTATTATGAACACAAGTCATACTTTAAACATCTAGATTAGAGTAAACAGACGAGGGGCTAAATCACAAACACACAACGGATAGAGATAGAGACAGAGAGGTCAGGACTATTCATAGAGACGGTGGTCTCATAGGAAACTGGTGGTCTTTTTGCGGTCTTTTTCCTTAGTTGACAGAAACTTGGAGTGGGAATTAGTAATTATACACTTGGGAACACAGTTGAATAGATGATTCCAGTGTTCAATCTGCAGGAAATTATTTTGCAGACTTGTAAACATTTTCATCCAGAGAACATGTCATTGTTCCAGCTGAAAATTGACAGGAATAGGCCTATGGTGGCTTGGCAAGAAAAAGTAGTTAAAAGATGTAAAAAGGTATGAAAGGTGCTACAATTTGTGATGCCAACCAATAATAAACACTAGCTCTGCTCATTTTCCTTGGCCAACTGTTTGCCAGAATTACAGTGGTAACCGTTCTAGGCAGCTGCTTCCTGTGGGTATTTTTGGGACTTTGAACCAAGGTAGCTCATCACTGCATTGCACAATTGCCAGAAAAGCCTTTTTCCACAAAAGTTCAGTGTGGTTCTTTCTGGAAATACTTTATCCAGGCAGTGTCCTTATTATCTAAACCGTACACAGTTTCCAGTAGGCAGAAAACATGGCACCTATAATTACAAGCTGGAAATACACCAGATTAGTGCAAATCAGTGCCATGGGAATTCATGCAGACTTATTAGTAGTGAGCTGCTGGGGCAAAGGCCGTCAGCTGCATTGGATATTCACAATCTCATATACACGTGTCTTGAAAAGTTGGGTCAGTTTGGAAGTTTTTCCAAAATTTAAAGCAATTGAGCAACTTAGAAGTTAAATAGAAGGCAGTTAGTGGTAATATTGGCATCACTGAACCAAAGTAGCCTGAGCCTGATCAATATGTTTATTAAAGCAGGAGACCACACTTGTTGTGGTGTGCAAAACAGAAAAGTACAGACAATTAAGGAAGAAAGAATAAAACAACTGACAAGGAGCTTTCTGTCTTCAATTAAACTGCTAAGTTATGGCTTAGAATCAACTGCAAGCATATCTTTTCCTGATAAATGACATATTAAAGTTCACAGCTGGTGACTGGTGGTTTGCCATTTTCCTGGATTACAGCTGACCACCAATCATTTAGATGTTTAGCAAGGGCAGAGTGACAAAAAGTCTGTTCATGGGAAATTAGAGTTTTGTGATTGAGTGCTTTTGTGGTATTAATCATCCTCAAGCGTAGGAGTGCCACCCCCTCACATAGATTTACCATTTACCCATAATACATTGACTTTCTCATTTGCATGCCTTGGCAGACATTGTCCAATTAGGATCCATCAAACTTGCAGGCTTTCTCATGCTGACTTTGATCTGTTTTTTTTTGCCTCCTCGCAAGTCTCACAATTGCGTTTTTTCCACAGTTGAGATCTTTTTGTCTCTTCCTCTTTCTCTTCTCTTCTCGTCTGTCTTTGCATAGCTTTCTCTCTTCCCAAGTATTACCTCTTAGGCAGCAGGCAGACAGATTTTGGATGAGTCACCCAGTGTGTCTGATACCATCAGCCCTCTCTGTCTCCTCTGCACCCCCCCCCCCCTTCCCCCCACTCTCTCTGCTGATGCCTCTCCATTGCTTCTCTCAGCCTAAAAGGGCAAAGGAGGGAGTGGCATCTCTCAGCATGAACTCTTTCCCTCATACTTTCCCCCTTCTGCTTCCTTCTGCCTCCTCTCACTTGAGACAAAGTGACATTTACAGAGGGACACTACATCTCCTTGGGAGCTTCTGCTCTTTTTGGCAAAAGAACACTCAATAGAGCGATGGAAGGCAAGGGGGTGTAAAAGACGACTATTGAAAAGAGTGAAAAAGTTGAAAAGTGCATGGGAGAATAGCAACAACAACAGAGATGGATAAGAGGGGTGTGTGCTGAGGTGGAGGAGAAGAGGAAGAAAGGGGATTTGGAACTAACATGAAGCGAGAGGGACAAGGACAGTGTCTGAAGTTGTCTGACACACTGACTTTTCTTTACTCATGTTTCGGGCATGTTGGTAAAAGGCTTGCTTTTAGGAATGAGGCTTTGATACTTCAGCAGTTCTAGATACACAGTATTGCTGAGCTACTATAACTGCTCAAAGGAAACAAATTGACACAGTGTCTCCACCCACACAAAGTGTGAAACCAGCGTCTTGCACCTGACTTATGTTTTCAGCTTAGAAGCATAATTACTCTGGATATGGAATGTGTAGCTGCCAGAAACTTTGGGAAGGCGCTGCAATATTCTCACATTTCTTATTTTGATGTAGCCACCAAAGTGTGTTAGTGTCACTTTAGGAGTACATTTAAATGAGGCTGAAATGTTAATGGTTGATGAGACAGGTAAATCTAATTATTTAGTTGACCAGTGCAACTTAGCTCAAACTTAATTTATGTTAAATAGTAAAACTACAGACTTTATGGAAAATCATCAGGCTTATCCTTAAAGAAAAGAGGGTTATTAGGTTTAAGCTATCCTGTTATCCTTCATTTCTCCACTATCTTCTGTCTATTAGCAATGCACCAGAGGTGCTGCACTGTTAAATCAATCACATTATACATACTACTACTCACCGGTTACGTGGAAGGGCAAACACAGACCTGTCTGAAGGAGTTTATGAATGAAACAGATGAATAATGAATGCAATCCAGGTTTTGATGAAATGTCAGGAGATCAAGTTATGTTTGTTTCTTACAGCTGCATGCATATAGGTCATGCATATTTAAACCGTGTTAAACATTAGGAGCGTTCCTAGCGACTAATTTTCTGGGCGTTTAAACAAGAGAACAGGCAGCAGCCTAGTGTAAAAGAAAACATTTCAAACTGTGCACACTTTAAACGTGCAATGTTAAATATTAGCCAAGCATATATTATATCTGTATTTTAGGAGATACATGAAACTGTTAATTAAGTTTTTGATTAATTCAAGCGTGTTTTAAATGTTGCTGAAATTTGCAACACTGTGCGTTGTATGACATTGCAAAATCATAGGTTTTTTTTATTATAGTTTGCAGAGTTATCTAACGTTAGCAGTGCTAGTAGTAGTAGCATTGGTTTCTTCCTTGGCAGGCTCAATACCCCAGTGCAGAATATGGTTACACGTTACTTCAATTACTGATTTATATTTCAGTTTATCCCAACAAAGCCAACATACGGCCATTTTTAAAATTAGTTTTTACATCAAAGTACTGCAGACATGCTGGTTAGCTCTACAGGTTAGAACTGCTCTCTTTACTGCTCTCTCCCTGTCACTAGTCTACAACTTCTATTCTCAGAAATCACGGGCAAGTGGCCAGTGGTGTCCTAACAACTTTGAGCCAGTGCATACTGTTACTTGTATTTCTGACACTGATTAGCAAGGGCAGCAATAAATCATAGAGAGCATTTACGCACCACAGCCCAAAGTTGCGTCTTGAACTTGTCACAAGTGTCATGTCATTTTCATTGTGCTCCTAGCATAGCAGCCATTGATGAGTTTTAGTGGATTCTAGTCTAGAGTTGTTTGACTTTTTTTTGGTTGAAATAAAATGTTAGATATAAAATATTTTCCATTTGCCTCAAGCTGTTTTTGTTGTTGTGAAAATTTCATTGTATTTTAGTTTTCGGCAACAAGGGCCTTTGCACAAGATAACAAGGGGGATATGGAATAAACCGGCCGATGGGCTGAAAGATTTGGAGTTTATTTTGAAGGTATTAAACCATACTGATTTTCTTTTCTTTCAGAGCAAGAAGCCGAAACAGAATCTACAATGTACTATGTCATTGGAGCCATCTTGTACAGGACACTTGGCATCATTTTACCTCCAGCGACGTGAGTACTTAATTATTCTTTATTGTTATTGAGGATTTAAAACCACATTTCATTCTTATCTTTTCGCTGTCCTTTCTTTGACCTTTCCGTAACTCATTTTTTTCTTGCGCTTTGTCTGACTTTTTAATCTCTCTTGTGGTCTCTTCATTCTTACAACAGCCTCTCTTTATTTCTGTGCATTTTCTATTTTTTCCTTCCCTTCTTTCGAACTTCCAGTTCTCCATATGTCTTTTCTTCGCTTTTACAACTCTGCTGCTTCTCTTGTGTCCTTGCGCCTGCTTATCACACTTATCAAAAAGCACACTTCCCTAGATGTTTTCCCCCTCCCTTTGAGTTGTCAGTATATTTTTGGAAGTGTACTCTGAGCTTGGATTGGGTGTGGGCCTAATGGGTCCCAAAACTTGCATAGAACATGCAGTAATAAAAGTTAGAAGAAATCAGGAGGTTGTGAAAAAGGCCATTGTGATATGGTGTTTGTGCTGGCCCCGGGCCCTTTTATTCAGGTCACTGCTCTTGGTTGTGGATTAGCTGGATCTGTTAAAACCCTTTTCACTCTGTAGCCATGCTGAATGTTAATGGGTGCAGTATTCTGTTTTTAGTCAGGCGCTCTCTTTTCTCTCTTTCTTCTTTCTTTTAGATTTCCTCACCTCCTACTAGTTTGTTTTTGTTATTTGTTGGTATTTGTATGTATTATTTTTGGTCTTTCTCCAAAGTCATAGAGCCCATTCAGCTCCATCTTAAATGTACACTAACACTCGTCTAAAAAACAAAAAAGATAACAATAAAAAAAAACAAATGTCTTTACAGTCCGCCTGCAGTGATCAACTCTAAAATCCTGACCGTGACAATACGACCGGAACCACAACCCAGTGAGCCCATGGTGGTGGTGGAGCTGTCACCGCTATTAAATGTAAGTATATAAAAAGCTGTTTTCTTTTCTCTGGCAACTATTTAAGACCGCTAAGCTTCTGCTTCGGACCACTGAGCATGTTCTAAATCTTCAAAAGTTAGATTGTCTTGTAAGCAGTTTTAAGGGATGAAAGAATGCATCACATCATGTTTTTTTATTTTCATCATCTAAACTTTCCTAAATGAAAAAAAACCCCCAAAAACATTTAAAATAAATGAAGTAAATGAAGTTTTTTCTAGTGCAAGGGTTTGAATTTTTCTGCTTGTAGTAAGTATTTTCCAAGAAAATAAATTTGTTTAAGGCTTTAAGCAACTCCTCTTCTCCCAGCCGACCCATGTTTTCTAAGTTCAGATGAAGCTCAAAGTGCTGCATGCTATAAAGTGCCATAGCGCTCGGTGAATTGCCTGAATAAACGCAGACCTTTTTGACTTCCCTGTATCGCGTTGTCTCCTGGTAGCTGTTCAGTTTATATTACATTGGAGTGCGTTATTATAACGACTCATGGGGTGTCTTCAGCGGAAAAGGACTAAGTGCTAGTTTAATGAGAGGCATGCTTCACGACCTCGATGTGATGTGGGTTTCTTTGGGCATTCTGCTGTGTAAAGGTGGACATAGTTTTGAAGATAATGTTAAATATTTAACGGCTCCCTCCTGACAACACAAACACACACACAACCTCGTTCAGCTATCTTAGTGAGGACCTTCATTGACATAATGCTTTCCCTAGCCCCTTACTCTAACCCTAACCAGTCAAACCCTAACCCTTACCCTAAACCTAACCATGACCTAATTATAACCCTGACACTAAAACCACATTTTGAGCCTCAAAAATGCCTTTAAATGCCTTCAAATTTGTGAGGACTGGGTTGTGTGTCCTCACAAGTGACTGTTGGTTCTCACAATTATAGTAGAATGCAGATTTTGGTCCTCACAAAGATAGCTAGACAGGAACACACACACACTATATATAGACGAAGACATGCTAAAATGAAAGTGGAATCAGTCTCTTGCTGTGTTGACCAGGACTTGATGGTCAAAAGTATTGCAAAGTTTCATTAAAAAATACTTAGTATTCATTCGCTATTCCCTGAGTTCATCTCCCTGCTGTAAACCACTGATTCATTACACAATTATGGCAGTTTCTTTATATGCCTCTATCTTTTATCTTCCTATTATTCTGCTTTTTAACGCTTTTGGCAAAGCAAAGGTATTGCAGGTTGCACATCCTCTTTCTAGCAGATGATGTCTTAATGCTGATCTTTGCATGCTGCTTTGTACTATAAACCAGAGGCTCCCGCTGAGGACAGACACTTATCTGGCACACAGCCCAGGGCTGACACATATAGTAGATCACATGCACACCCTAAACCAGTGGATGAGATGCCATTGTTACTCTTTTAAACAATATATCCTATGTGTATCAAATTATTCTAAACATTGGGGTGGGAATTGTAAATGGATTTCTTTTTTTTAAAGGAAGAGTGATGACAATTAATGCAGCAGATGCATCTAGTCCCTTGATATGCCATGCTCTGTCCTATATTACTCATTAATCAACTGAATAGTCTCAAGTTAAATTAAAGCAGCAACAGTATGGCCCTTGCACCTCAGTGAACATCCAGGTGTGCTGAAGGTGAGACGTTTTACGCGGTAACATGAATGAATTAAGCCTGGGATGCTAATTGGGTATTGTATAAATTTACCGCTGATCACCTGTGAACACTAGGTGGCGATAAAGAGTGTCCGCCAATTAAAAGTCATGCTGCTGCATGTAATTTGATAAACCACCAATGAAAGTTTCATGTAGATGAAGTGATGATGATTATCACCTAATGCTTACTTCATGTTGCTACTAGTACTTCAACAAAGAGATGTAGAATCATGTTGAACCGCCCATGTTTAAGACCCAAAAATACATAAATTTTCACCAGACCTGACACATGTGCAAAATTTCATGAAGGCGGAAGTGCGGCTTATCCTTGCTGACACAGGGCTGGACAGTTCGTCATTCCATCTTATGGCTAAAGGAGAAGCATGATGGTTTTACAGTGGCCTTGCACACAGACTACAGGCAACTTTGCAGATGTTGTCTATAAGTTGTTGTTGGTTATTGTCACCAAGAGGCAGTGTCACAATCGGTCTGTGTGCTACTCTTGTTTGTGCTGTTATTGGTCCTTGCCAGCCACAGAGAAGAGCGGGTTATAACATACAAAAAAGCTGAAGCAAAACTGTATGCATAAAAAAATGACAAGAGTATGGAAAGGCTTGGAAAAATCTGGAATAGCAACGACAGCACATTGCCATTCACTGCTCCAGACAAATAGCTACATTGGGCTGCACAACCTAGTTAGAGGTGCCTTTACTTGGGAGAATTTCTATAGAAAGGACTGTAGTATCTAGCCATCCCAAGGAATGTACCTATCTCCCTTCTGGAGGTAGGTACAGGAAAGGTCGACAATGGCAGAAACCTTAGCCTCAACAGGATGAATCTGGTCATAAAGGTTCCTTCAAAAGTTGACAGTGGCCTTGCCAAACTCACATGTTGCCAAGTTCAGTGTCAGAGAAGCTTCTGCTAATCAATCAAAAAAAAAGATTCATTGTTGCAATGTGCTATGCCCAGCGGGGAAAATAAATAACCACATCAACCAGATAAATATTGCAGTTTGAAACATTACCCGGTGGTCATTAGCCTTTGAAAGGTCACAGGTGCATTTTTCATCTCAAAAGGCCATCACAGTACACTGCAAAAAGTGATCAGGC